AATTTCACACGCAAAAGAAATATATGACCGCATATTTATTGAGTCTTGAGAAAATTGTTGAACAATTTTTGCTTTAAAATACCATCCAAGTTTTTTTTTAATCTTAATTATATTATTCTTTTGTTATAACAATAATATTTTTCTTAAATAAATCTTTATATATATATATATATATATATATATATATATATATGNATATATATATATATATATATATAATATGAAACAATTCTCTCCATGTTAAGCTTATAATATTATTATAAAAATAGTTTTTAATGTTTGTTATTTTTTACTTTAACTTTAGAGGAAACTCTGCATCATATAAAGAGACATCAAATTAACGACAAAGTAGAAAACAAACGTTAAAAAACGTCGATTATGCGAGAGTATGATGACTTTTTATGACAAATAGCACAACACATCAACGTTCTATTGGTTCCATTTCAAACAAAGTTCTAATGTTGTTGGGTCCTCCATCGTTTCGGTAAATACGATGCTCACTCTTGTTTTGTGTTCTTCATAGTATCATCTTTTATAGGTGATGAATTCTTGAACTGCTGAAAATGTAGCACAACTATTATGTATGAATAAATGTTTAAAGTTTGATCAGATTTCTAATTAATATATATATATATATATATATATATATATATATATATATTCACATATTAATACCTTTGTTCTTGTAATTTAATAGTCGAGAATTAGTCTCATTTTTAATAGTATTTGTAATAGTATGTATAACACTTGGTGATATGAAGTTTTCTTTCCTATAACGAAAGCCAACTACAAAACTTATATTAAATAAATAAAAGGATGGTTGATATCGGAGAAAGAAAATTGGCATCACTCAACAAAATTGAGAAAATGAATTATAAGTCATGAGATTAATTATACACTTCTTTAGGTATATCATGCAACACCTTTTACATTTACATTAATTTTTATAAAGTAATATTTAACGTTCATTAATAATTAATTTGCACTAGTGTTTCTTTTTTCAAAATTTACCACGTGACCATTCTATAACTTAATTAAAAACATAATAAATATTAGAAAGAAATTCAAAATTATATTGACATGTCACTTGAGCAAGAGTTAAACATTCAACTGAAATCTTTTAATTGGTTTTGGTGAAACATTCAATAAATAATTATTACTTGGACAAAGTGTTGTGCCACCAATATTTTAAATAAAATTTCTCATTGTCACTTGAACAATATAACATCAATGAAGAACACAATAAATTGAATGATGACGAGTCCATAACAAATTTACAATCAAAATTTAAAGAAAGAGGGTATAGAAAAGTATTCCAACCAAGCTAAACAATAAATTAAAATTCAACTTAATTTCCATAAGAAATTCTTAAACCAACATATTGGAAAAAGAAAAATTAGTCCTCCATGGAATCCACACGAAAACCTAAAATAAAAGAAAAGAGAATTAAAGCACAAACAAATTCTATGATGGACCAAACTTCCACGGTTCTAAAATTAGTTTTAAATTTACATAAGATTAACTAAGGTCTCACCTAGAAGTGTATTCCGTTTAGTATGGATTGACTCAATCACACATTAATTTTACTGGAGTTGAAAAAAATTAATTGTAACTTTAAAGTTATTTAAAATTTGAGATAAAATTTGTTTCTATCTGAATTTAAAAGAGTGTTCTACAGATTAACACAATTTTCAATGAAGCTGAAAGTTTAGATATTTGTAGTAAAAAATCCAACCACACCACCTAAGTTAGATATACTATATCTATATAAATAATATCTCATATTATATATATATATATATATATATATATATATATATATATATGAATGAGTTTGCTAATTTATGTAATATCTTAAAGTGTATTAAATTTTAATCAATAAAAATACCTTATATCATGAATAATTTTTTAAATTTTTTAAATTTTTATTTTTTATTTTTTTATTTTAAATTAAAAATAAAATTTATTAAAATATTTCTATATTTAAATTATGTCTTTTTTATATGAATATAGATTTTTTTGTCAACACACTAAGAAGTTACACAAATTAGCTAACCTATATATTACAATTTTTACTAAGCACTTTCATTAGCCCAGATGATTTTCATAATTTCAACATAAAAAAAAAGGAGAGTTCTTAACCAGTAATAACAATGGAATCCACTACAGTAACCCTATGATAATGCCTTCACACACCATTTAGTTGTTCCATCCTTATTACACTTAAACCAATTACAAAACAGGAGAAATCTATAAGAACAAAAAATATATTGCAAATAGGAGGAAGATATAACTTAAACAAGAAAAAAAAAGGTCAAAATACATTAAAATCATAAAAATAATGAAATATTTACATTTTAAATCGAATTAAGTCTAAATATAAAAAACTCAACCAGAAGACTCACAATAAATACCTAATAATAATTGTTCTGTTGAGGTAGTTGCCACATTCAAATCATAATGACAAGATGACCAATCAATACAAATTGAACAAACGTTAAGAATAGCCCGTGGTTCATTAAAAAGAATGTGTACGAAAAAACATAGGTAAAAGGTTTTTTTCTAAGCTTGATAATGGTCGAGAAATACACCACAATGAAGGTATTAGCACTCTTTACTTTATAAGAGTTTATTTAATATAACACGTAAAATAATATTTTAAACAATTTTTTTTCTCCTATTTATTTTGAAATCTCAATTTAGTTATTAGATTTTAAGTAGTTTTAATTAAAATGTGTTTAAATCATTAATGCGGTCTAAATGGTAAACGAAGATTCACACTAGTTATGGTAATATAGATTTTTTTTATTATGTAAAATATAATTGTCGTTATTTGCAAAGTTTTGTCAGAAATTTTGAACATTGTGAACAAAGGAGATGTTGAGCAGAAATTGAGAGTTTGTCATGTTCGATCAATTTAAAGTTATTTATCATTTGCTTAAAAATAAAAAACAAACAGAGTCATAGAATGAGCAAAAACATTGAAAGCAAACAAAGAACATGATCAAGTCATAAAGTCACCATCTCAAGTTCCATTAAAAAAAAGACAATCATAAACCTTGTTTCTTCATTCATCATTAGTTACCATAAGTCTTTGTTTTTGGTTTTGTGAACAAAACATGATCCATTCCCCTACAACTTAAAATACTTGATATTACACTCTTCTTTCAATTTCAATCTCAAAAAGACCTAGTTTTTGCACCTTCATTCTTGCAAACCCTAGTCTTGGAGCTTAAGACAATGAAAAATGGAAATGGAAATGATTCTCAAAGAAATAATTATTCTCCAAAGAGGAATTAGAAAGGCAATCAGAACGCATTTCTCTCGAGGGCATATTTTTCTTTGTTGTTCCTTTCTAACATTGGAAAAAAAAAATTAAACAATTGAATGCACTGAGGTTCATTCGACTGTTAAGAAAAAAAGGTGTTTGTTGTGCAATATTCAACGATTTGAACTTATTTTTTATATATTTTTAAAATAAAAAAAATTAATTAAAACTACTTCAAATTTAATAACTGAATTGAGATTTCATAACAAATATAATAAGGTTTATTTATCTTCTCACTTATTAATTTATTATCGGAATAACTTATTCTTAAAAATGATTTAGTGGTGAATATTTTTAAGAGGCCGTGGATGGGCACTGCTTTCTATATGTGATAGCATGTTAATCAGCCTTCTTTCATCTCAGATATCAGGTCGCGTTTCTAGAACCAATGGATCATTCTCTGATTCATCTGTTTCTTTAACACATTATTGATGTAAAAGCAAATAAGAATTATGGTCATCGTGCTTCCACCACTTACAAAATCGTTTTTTTTACTAAAGCAGTGTACCTTTTATAAATTTATTAAAATAAATAATTTTTAAAAAATATACCAATATGATAAATAGTGTAATTTTAACACAATTTTATTGTAAAAGAATGATATTAATTTTAATGCATAACATTTTTAAGTTGAAGTCATAATAAGTTAATAATTTTGATTCAATATATTTTAAATTAAAATATTCCTAATGATATTACTTTAGTTTAATTTTAGTATAATTTGTATTATGATAACATAACTTTAGTTTAAAATATTTTAAATCGAAATCATATCACGTTAATATGATTTCAGCTTAAAATATTCTGGTTCAATCATCTTAACACCACTTTAAATTTAAAAATATTTTGAATTAAATTTATATATATAAATCTATGTCATGTTGACTTCATTTATTTATATTCATGACTTTTTAAAAAAAATTATCTGTTTTGATAAATTAAAAAAAATCACACTAATTTAGTAGAAAAGCTTGCAAAATCAATTAGTTATGAAAAATTCACACGATATTTAAAATAGGTTAAACTTGAATTTATGATATTTTAAAATATTATATATTTTAAATATTTTCTTTTATAAAAAATTAAATTTAGTAATTTTTTCATTATCAAATATACAAAATTATTTGTAATATTTAAGGTATTTTAAATTAATGTTTGATTGGTATTATTTTTTAGCCAAATTTTGTTAGAAAATATTAATTAAGATTATTTTCACGATGTTGATGTTGACAACTGTCGCACCATGAATCACTGATTTTAATGTTTGAATATTTAAATCTTTCTTTAGTTTCAAAGTAGTCCGGCTGATTAATTAGATGGCTCAGGCAACTCTAACATTAGATGGCTCAGGCAACTCTAACGCGTAACAGTAACTGAAAATAGTCCACCCTATTCTTAATTTTACCTCCCCTTTCCTCTCTCCTTTCATGTATGGAAAATGATACTTGAACAACCACTTTTGACAACATTTAGACACGCGCACATGTGTCTAAATTTGAGTGATCCAGTTAGAAAAATTAAATGAAAATGGACCACTCAAATTTAGATACGTGTGCACGTGTCTAAATGTTGTCAAAAATGGTTGTTCAAGTAATACATCGAATGAAACTAACATTGATACTACAAGTTGTAGCAGTAGGTTTATTTATTTATTAATTTTAGAAGTTCAAGGTACCGAGCATGATTATTTATCATTGCAATTTAGTAAATCATACATAAAGTTGACACTTCGTGCCTTGAATCTAGCTTTCAAACTAATGCCATAGCATCTTGCTGCTTTACCTGACTCAATAAATGTTTTGGTATATTATTTCTCATTCTAATTCCTCACCCTTTGAGTGTAACCAAGCTTTCTTTCTTGTTGTCATCCTCTTTCATTCTCTCAGCATATTTATTTATGTCAAATCCTGTGTCACCATTCCCACCAAATGCAGATTCAAGTTTATCCATATCAAATAAATCCTCCAAAATCTTCTTTGAGTTCTGGTCGTCCGAATAGCAAAACTTTACTTTATTGTAAATTTCAGTTTCCAAAAAGGGCCTCATCATCTGCAGCAGTTCCCTCTTTCACGTCACAAAATGGTAATAGATTCATGATCGCTCGTAAGTCCAAATTTAGGTTTTGGTCAAACGGGAGAGAGTGACGAAAGAATTTGAGAGGATTTAAAGATAATTTTTTGTTGTTGTTTATTTAAGTGGATTTGAAATAAGTGAGAGTAAATTTGGAAATAAATTTTTAATCTATCACATCAATTAAATCCTACTTCCAAATTCACTCTGGTTTACTTTCAAATCTACTCAAATAAATAATAAAAAAATTTATATTCAAATACTCTCAAATCCCCTCGATCACTCTCCATCAAATCTAATATAATCTACGTGCATATCATGAACTTTACAAGTAGCATTTAAAACTTTACCAAGGCAATGCATGTACATATAGTAGTCTCGTAAGGAAAATCAATGAAAAGGGTTTAATTTAGATACCTTGAAGAATGGCTGGAAGATTAGAGGCGCATTGAACAGAATTATCAAACCCAAGCGCATTGGATAATAGTTTTGGAATACATGGACAATTTCACGTGACGTTTTGAACGATATATCCGACATCTTGATACCCTCTAAATCTACCAGCCAAACCACCTGTTCTTGGTGTGGAGGAAGGTTTAAAATGGCATTCTCCAAGCAGTGTACGAAATACTTAACCTGTCTCTCTGTTGATTTGGAGTTCTGCAGCACAGATTCAGACCACAAAATGAAATAAAAACAAGACTGTTATCGCTCTTAAAAGTTGTTCATAAAAATAGGATTCTAACTAACCACTTATCATAGTTCATAAACCCCTGACCTCAATTTCAAAGCTGAGAGTAAAAGAATCAGCAGCACACAGCACTGTTATGTAAATTCATAAAATTAAGTGTGTTTCCTACTAACAAAAGCGAAAAACCTATTCTCATTCTTCCGTTTCATTCCAGTAGCCAAGTATGATACTATGATTACAGTTTCAGGGCTGCTGATTAAACAAAACAAGATAGAGATTGAAATTGATCCTCAGAAGAAACCTTGCGTCTAGGTGTCATTACAATCACTGATCTCCCGTACTTGTCCTGATAATTGGGTCTATAAATCGACCCTGACTCTGCATCATCGGCAATCTCTTCCTGCATCAACAAAAATTCCATGTCGAAAATCATTTCAGAAAAGTGTCATACTCTAGATTTTTTTGAAAGAGAAGACATGCCAGCCATGATTTATCTAAACTTGATAAAAGAAAGTGAAGACAAGTAGTAATTAACTTACCCAGCGGATCTCTTCCGGTTTGTATTTTTTTCTCCATTTCAGACTTTGTTTCAACATTTGAGCTGCTTTCTTAACATTCGAATTGCGTGACATTAAATACCTTGAAATGGATGCATCAGAACAGTACACAGATTCCTTATCTGATAACTGCCCTATCAACCCTCTCACCTCAGTGATCTGAGAGAAAACAATTCATCAAGAGCTACATCCTTTACTCAAGACATTGTGTGTTGATATTCTCACACTCAATATGGGTAAAATAAACTTTGTTAATATACAAAGAACGAAAACTAGAATAACATATACCTTAGCCTGCTGTTCTTGTGAAACTACCAGTTCATCATGACCCGTGGAGGCAGTTTTTTTCTGATCCTCACTCATACTGTTCAGTACAGAGAGGCAAAAAATTAGCAATGAAGAGTTGAACACCACAATAATAAGTACCAATTTATCCAAGTAATAGATATTAACCTTCATTCCAAAGGGATGCAAAATCAACTCTAGGAATGTTTTGCTTTTGGTTTCTTCACTGAAATATGATAGCATTCCTTTTATAGCAACTTAGGTTAAGTAGTTTTATATATGAGCCTCGGTGGACGTTGGTGGTTGACGCACATTTAGTTACCTCAATTTTTACACAACTTCAATTCATTGGTTAGTCTTCTGTGGGGTTGAGGATAACAATTTTTCAAACTTTATTCGTACAATTTTTTTGCATTGGTCACTGTTATTCAATTCGTTTGGTTGTGTGGAGAGATACATGCAGAAAGTATTTTTATTTCAAATTCAGTAAAATTTTGATTGTTTAATAATAAATGTATATTAAATGTAGTTAATTTATTTTAATATATATTTATAAATTTCATAAAAAACTTTGAATTAGTGTTAATTTAATAACAATTCAACTAATAATAATCGTCTTTTAATTTAATATAATAATTCTTAGTTTTAATTTTTATTTAATTCATTTTATTCTGTTCATTAATTTATTATGTGTTTTTAAACAAAGAGATCGTTGAAACTCGTATAGTTACTAACTAGTCTTATTATATGTTTCTATAGATGTTCTTCTTCACTTTTTTAACTCTTAAAATGTATTCTGTAAAAAAAAAAACAAAATCATTAAATTAAGTCTTTTAGTCTTAACGCCTCTGAACTATTTACTTTTCCCTGATATTCAAAATTTCCGTTCGCTATATCATAAGGATTATCTCACCTCAACCCTAAGACCGATACCACACTCAGTTACACATGAGATACATTTACAAGAAGAAGCATATATACGGCTCATAGTTACACAAGTTACATAGTGTTCAATTTATGTTAATATTTTATTTTAACAAAATTTATTAATAAAACCTTGAACATTAAATAAAATAATTTTGGACGGATATAAATTTCTGTTATATAATTTTTCTATTAGAATATTTTTACTTTATATGTGTCTTTTTGAAGATGTCACAATGTCTTCCAATAATGTCTACTGGTGCAAATCAACCACCATAACTTGTTCATTAAAGTTAAAGCAACACTGGCAAAGTCAAGTTGAACACAAACTACATTTATTGTGCATCAACCAAATACTTTGGTGGTGGTTATATATACCAAGTCATAATATTAATGATAGAGTAATACATATATATATATATATATATATATATATATATATTTTTTTTATGGGTCTTACAAATATAGCTTTTTTAGACATTGTATGATGATTAATATTAATGTATACTATCTAAATAAAAATAAGTTTTTCAAAAGAAATATATTTATATTGTCTAAATAAAAAATAAGTTTATCTAAAAAAGACTTAATTATAAGATGAAAATTACACTCAACTATACACAATAAAGATTTTTCATCACATTTCTTCGTGTCAAAGTTTATATATAAAATATATTACTAAATATTAATAACTATTAATAAATAATTAATAAAACAATAAATCCAACAAATAACAATTTTTATTAAGATAGATTTTACACCATAACTACAATATTGTATTAAAAATTAAAATTAAAATTTAATTTAATTTTACAAAATCAGTTAGAAAAGGTAAAATTTATATTATATTATATATTTTTAGTTATTCAAACACTTTCAACAAATATACTTAAAATCAAAACATCTTAAAATGCATAAGAGAAGTAATATCCAATATATGAAAATTTTTTAATTTTATTTTTATTAAAAGTAGATAATTGTATGAGTATAAAATTAAAGAATTTCATAAAATAAAAACATTGAAGGATAATATAAAAAAATCCCTGGATCAACAAAAATCTCAGGAATTGTATGGGTAGATCTGACAACAATAAAAGGACGATGACGTAAGATATGTACACTTAACACTAAATTCATACCAAATTTCTGTTCTCGTAATCCTTTGTATGATCATTAACTTGAGCACGTATTTATTGGTAATTACATCAAAGCTTGGTTCCAAGAATTCCACGAATATCAGCTACTTGGGTGGACAAAAATTACACTTTTTGTAGACCAATGCAAAAACATAAATAAAAAAATAACGTGCATTTTAATTCCTAAAGATTAAATGAGAATTCTGAAAACTCAAGATGTAGAAATTAATATTAGCCTACAAAAAGTTTGACTTATTGTTAGAACTTTATATAAATGTTTACTGAAAATTCTACGTCATACTACACTGAATGGTGATGGTTTCTTTCTCAATATGGATTAATTTGTTTTTGAAATTATTTTTCTAGGTCGATTTTTTTTAAAAAATTCATTTAAAACCAAGCCATATCTTGTTGGCATGATTTCATTGTAAAAAAATCATCACTATTTTTTATAATTTCTGACTCGTGAAGCTGAAGTTGTCCGTGTAAACTGCTGAATTTATGGAGATGAACAAGAATCTCCATTAGGATTAAATGTAATTAATCATACATTAATTAAAGTCGTGAAAGGTTTGAACAACTTTTGTTTAAGCTAAACTCGTGTTTGAATTGAACCACTTCTTCCAAAAGTAAGCTTCTAAAGTCGTACAAGAACTATAAGATATCTTTCAAAAATATACTTCAATGATTTTGCAATTTCTACATAAATGAGTATATTGAGTTACACATAAGTCATACAATTATTTATACAATTATTTCACGACTCCTTTAAAATTATTAAAATACAAATTTATTAATATGAAATAAAATAAAATAAATTAATAAATATAAAAAATTAAAATAATTGAAGTTGTTTGCCACAAATATAATTATCATAACAAATTAATAATAAAAACTTTGTACTTAAGTTATACTATCTTAATTTTTCAATTTTTTATACCGTAAATTTATTTATTTTATTTTATACAAAAAAAAATTGTGTCCTAAGAGTAAGATTTTTATCCATGAATATTATGTTATTCTAATTTTTGTATAGGCTTAATATCACCTTTGACTTCAAATTTTATCTGACTTTGTTTTGATGACTCATTTTTTTTAGTGTTTGATATGGTCTTAATTTTGATAATTTATGCTTAATTTACTTTTTTTTATGACGTTATCTAAACCATTATTGATAGATGAATAATGTTTGTCACGTGTCACTTCATGATTTTTATATTTTTTTAATTTAAAAAAGTTCTTCACGTATTTTGTGTCTTATATTTAATTAGTCTTAATTTTTGTTAATTTTGTTCAATTCAATCCAAATTTTAAATTTTATAAGTTTTAAAATTAGATAAGAAATTGTTCACTATTTTTAAAATTAAAATCATACAATTATTTGACGACTCCTTTAAAATTATTAAAATACAAATTTATTAATATAAAATAAAATAAACTTATAATATAAAAAATTAAAACAATTGAAGTTGTTTGTCAGAAATATAACTTTATCATAATAAAATAATAATAAAATATTGTACTTAAGTTATACTATCTTAATTTTTTTCAAATTTTTATACAGTAAATTTTTTTTATTTTATTTTATATAAAAAAAATTGTGCCTTAAGAGTAGGATTTTTTTTTCCATGTATATTATGTTATTCTAAATTTTTTATAGGCTTAATATTAGGGATGGCAAAAAAATCCGCGCCCGCGGATATCTGCGGATAAAATCCGCAACGGATAGTTGGTACCCACGGATATTTACTATCCGCGGGTTACGGGTAGCGGGTTTTTTAATACCCGCTTATAAACGGGTCGGGTGCGGGTATTATACTATCCGTATCCACGGATATCCGCTACCCGCAAAAAATAAAAATAAAAATTTAATTTATATTTTATTAAGTTAAATTTAATTAAAATTAACATTAATTTATATTTTATAAAGTTAAATATAATTAAAATTAAATTTTAATTTATATTTAATTTAATATATATTATATTTTATATATTTTTTGTAATTTTATTTAAATTTTATTATAATATTTTATAAAAATATATTTTTTTAAATATTTATGGGATATCCACGGGTATCCACGGATATCCGCGGGTTTTAAAATATCCGCGGATATTTTTTAAGCGGATATCCGTGCGGGTAGCGGGTCGGGTAGCGGGTGGATTTTTTTTTGTCGGGTCGGGTTGCGGGTAGGCACTATCCGTGCCCGACCCGATCCGTTGCCATCCCTAATACTCAGCTATACTAGCGTAATGCTGAACCTATAGCATATCAGTCATCCTCTACTATATATTACTCATATCTATATACTACATAACATCTAATCACTAGTTGTACTTACTCTACTCAGCTCCTTAATATATATGACTTTGTTATAGATAGACCCACCACACCAAAGTAGTTGGTTCTATTCACAATTAAATGTAGTTTGTGTTCAACTTGACTTTGCCAGTGTTGCTTTAACTTTAATGAACAAGTTATGGTGGTTGATTTGCACCAGTAGACATTATTGGAAGACATTGTGACATCTTCAAAAAGACACATATAAAGTAAAAATATTCTAATAGAAAAATTATATAACAGAAATTTATATCCGTCCAAAATTATTTTATTTAATGTTCAAGGTTTTATTAATAAATTTTGTTAAAATAAAATATTAACATAAATTGAACACTATGTAACTTGTGTAACTATGAGCCGTATATATGCTTCTTCTTGTAAATGTATCTCATGTGTAACTGAGTGTGGTATCGGTCTTAGGGTTGAGGTGAGATAATCCTTATGATATAGCGAACGGAAATTTTGAATATCAGGGAAAAGTAAATAGTTCAGAGGCGTTAAGACTAAAAGACTTAATTTAATGATTTTGTTTTTTTTTTTTACAGAATACATTTTAAGAGTTAAAAAAGTGAAGAAGAACATCTATAGAAACATATAATAAGACTAGTTAGTAACTATACGAGTTTCAACGATCTCTTTGTTTAAAAACACATAATAAATTAATGAACAGAATAAAATGAATTAAATAAAAATTAAAACTAAGAATTATTATATTAAATTAAAAGACGATTATTATTAGTTGAATTGTTATTAAATTAACACTAATTCAAAGTTTTTTATGAAATTTATAAATATATATTAAAATAAATTAACTACATTTAATATACATTTATTATTAAACAATCAAAATTTTACTGAATTTGAAATAAAAATACTTTCTG